ATTGTGGCGGTCGGCAATTCTGCATGCCGGTCGGGCCCGACCGGCGCCGACCGCCAGCGGCAGATCCCTGGGTTGTGAACCTATCATTTCGAGGAAACGATAAGGCTAAAATACGTAGATAAAGTTTGCAGAGTTCTGAAGCATCAGGTTTAAAGAATTACATGCAAGTTTTCACGCAAGGTGACTGAGTATTTGTTGAATACTCTGAATTTACAAACATGACAAATGACTTAAATCAAGCTCTTTAACAACATATTCCTGTCAAGCCAGCCGCGATATCTTGAATCAAATTGTGACTTTTGGTGTCCCACACTGCCACGCAAAAATGACAGAATACACGTGTAAAGCCTGGCACTTGCAATAAAATGACAAAAATCTCAACGTCTACCCACATTCGTAATATTTTAAGATGTTACTACACTTTGCAAATTTCGCAGAAAAGTAGAATCGACCACGAATTCAGTTGGCCTGTCCGTAGCACTTCATTGACAGTGGTACACCATTGCTTGTGTCATTGGTGCCCCTTGGAGGGTGTGGAAACTGAACGCAGTGGCACACATTGCTTGTTCCTTTCTGTCAACTTCACCTGTTATTTTATATAAATCAGCAAACAGCAGAGCGGGAAACAATTTTGAAATTTAGGCTGGTGTGCCCCAACTTGGGGGCATGTGGCCAAGTGGTTAGGGTCTGTGGATTCCAATCATGAGGTTGGAGGTTCGAATCCAACTGCTGGCAGTATGTTGTGGCCCTTGGCAAGCCACTTCACCCCTGCTTGCCTCTCTCCACCTAGGAGTATAAATGGGTACCAGTATTAGCTGGGAAGCAACCTGTGATGGACTGGCATCCCTTTCTGTCATTTCATGCCAAGGAAACCGGAGATAAACAGTGGCCTGATGAGCCAAAATGGCTCAGACCAGACTTGCTTTTTGAGGTTCCAACTTGGGCCCTTTATTCATGTCTGCGGTGCAACCCTTATGGGCACACGCGTGCACACTTTATTTCCGAGGGACACGGGCACATGACGAGAGAGGGAGTGTCTTGCAGACAGACACATCCCATGGCTAGTGACTGGATTCAAACCCTTGACCCTCTCTTTCTCTGTTTCATGAACCCTAATCTGCTGGGTCCCTCACATGCACAAACCAGAGCGGGTGAATGGTGTCTTGCATTGGCACAGCGCCATATTACAGCGGGCCTTTCTCAAAAACTTGAGGAAAAAAAAAATGGACGCAATCTCTGACCCCTCTTCCATTCTGTGATTCAGGCAAAATGAAGATACAGTCAACTCTGGGCCGAGATTATACAGTTTTGTTACCAGAAGAGTGCTATGGGGAAGGACAGAGTCCCTGAGCAGTCCCCCTTCCCATCACCCCCAGACCCAGCTGTTTTAACTGTGGAGTGACTCATGCTGAGGTGGGCTGTTCCAAGCAAGGGACCTTAAAGTCAGGTGAAGCCAATGACTTTAATACTCTGAGCTTGGTGTACGGTGTGAAGTCCATGTTTTTGAAGTGTACATGTTTATGTGGAGGTTTGGCCATACTTAGCCCACAAGGAACCATGAATGCAATTCTGTGATGTCAACGTAAGTATACCACGCTGCTAGTTAGCCAAAAAAAAAAAGGTTTGCAACATTTTCACCATAGTGAACTTTGACAAAATGCTCTGAGATGTCAAATTAGCATTTGTATGCACTGTCGCACTGGGAAAGTAACAGACAGTTTGTTTCCACCTTTGTTACAGAGGATGAGCACAGCAGCCATCTTTCTGGCAACAGCTTTTGTGACGGACGGATAGCGCAAGAGGTCTACTCATGACTATCCATGTGGAACAAAAGCTCCTACCCAAAATGTGACTGCCGTGCACAGCCTCTACTAAAACTCACCACAGGCCCAGATGTCCACGGGCCTCCCGTAGGGATCCTTCTTGAGAACCTCTGGGGACAGGTAGCCTGGCGTCCCAGCGAATCCTGCCACGTGAACGAGTGGAGGAGGAAAGATACAACCCAGTTATGAAATGCACGTACCGGAAGGTGTACAAAACTAAGAAAAAATGCCTCTGCAGGGACGGCCTGCAATGTGCTTGTGGATGCTTCTGGCTGCGACTACTCTCTGCAGTGTGCTAACAAGGGAGCCACTCAAAAAACATACCTGCATTAATACCAACATTGGGGAATCAGAAAACAGTACTGCAGCGCCTACGCATGTATATGCACTCGATGCGAGCACCTTGGCCGTAAAGCCCCTCGAACAGGTTAGGTCCAGGTTCAGAGTGTAATTTCTAAGCAAGTTGCAGCCAAGTAATTTGGACACGGTTTAATTTATCGGTTTACTACTAATGAGGACTATGCCTGCCCCCCCCAAAAAAATCCTTCCCCCTTCCCCAGAAAAACCTGAAGAAGCCCATGTGAAAGGACACACCAAAGTGCATACACAACTCAGATCAAACCTGCCTGTATAAAAAAAAACCTTCCCAACAGTCTCAGCTTGGTTGCACTAAAAAAAACCATGACACATCTGAGGCAATGGGCCAATATCAAGTTCCTCTCGGAATCCATCACAGCCCCAGCGTGCACTCTCACATTCAGACATGCTTCCAGCACCCCCCCTCCTCCTTTCAGCGTTGAGAATGCAGATGCGGAAACCAGAAACTACCCACATCTCTTTCAGTCTCCTTGTTCGGCTGAGACTCCTGTCTTCTCGGTAAAGACAGGGGCTCAACAATGACAGAGAGACAGGAGAAAAGGGGCAAAGTGATGGCCGGTTTCGATAAAGGTATCACTGAATCCAAGCAGGTGTACCCCCTGCAAAATATCATCCAGGAGGATTAGGAGAAAGGTGGCATTCCTGTGGTTTTGTGGAATGGAGTCTGCGGTCGTGAAGTATAACAATATTTAAGGATACCCTGAATAAAGACTCCCTGTGGTCTTTTCTTGTCATCACGGTGTCGCTTGACATTACGAACAGGCCAGCGCAGGCACGCTGTGGGGTTTTACAGCGTGCGGTTTTACACATGTACATATTAGATGTCCTGCTGGAGAACAGAAACAAAATTATGCAGCATGCACGTGTCTCCAGGCCTCAGTCCTCCAAAATCGGCAAGTTCTTGGAACAACTAAAGTGTGTCCCTTGCAGGGGTGACCACTGCCTCCATCCCAAGTGTGCATAGTATGAATCCTCTGGCAAATACTGTGTGAATGAGGGGCAGTGAAGGTGATTTCCAGTATGGTCTGAGCTGTTCGACAGCCAAAGTTATTACGCAATTGAAAGGCCCAAGAGAACTGCATGGGCACAGTGAACCAGTTCACACCACACCAAATATGGCAGCTACCCACTGTGGGCCACACCTCTGTTTTGGTGTATTTACACCAAAACAACACTACATTACGTAACACTGCAAGTGATTTGCTACAAAAAACCTGGCTTTGTGTTGCATTATCCAGTCAGAAGGCCTCACTTTACTGAGCGATGAAGCTTGCTCCAAGTGGCTTTTGACAAGCAAGCTGAGTATGTTAGGAAATACATATTTGTTTAATTTTTTTTATTCTCTTTTTTTTTTACAAATGGTTGATCTGGTTACCGGTATATCCGAAGCATGATCCCATGCTTGGGAGTGAGCGGGGGCCCGAGCCAACATCACACAACACTTCGCCGGCTTATACTCATTTCAATATAATGTAATTATTGTGCGTAAATGTAGCTGAACATAATTAACTCAAAGTGTGGCCACAGACCTTGACACACAGTGCATTCTTCAAGATCAGCCACGATATTTCGTTCATAAAGCCTCAACCCTTCAAATCCTCCGCTCAATTTGGGGAGGATTGGGGTGGTTTGGGAGAAGGTTTTGGGGTGAAGCACTCACCGAACCATGCCGGCTGGTCACCCTGCAGCTCGATGGCCAGACCAAAATCAGCGAGCTTGACGGCAGCGCCTTTTGCTTTGCTCGCAAGTAGTAGATTTTCCGGCTGAACAGAGGGGGAAGAAAACAAGACACAAAAATTTATATAAAAACTACTAATGGCCTTTCTTCGCACAAGTCTAATTGCGACATTCTGGTAGACGACACTATTTACATATTGCACACTGACGTACAGTCCATACTTTTCAAAAAATGACAAGTGGCATTTTACGCAAACACACGGAGAGTCACAAAGCTAACTTGAAGAAATGCCAAAAGCGATGTCATCAAACTAGGAATAAAAGAAAACAGTCACCAGAGGTGAAACACACACACACACCACCGCCGCCTTGAATAAACTGAATTCTGCACGTACAGTCTACTTTGCACCACATGAACATACTGTCCATGTATCAATATGGAAGGCTCAAGTGTTATGCTGTTTAAAGCTTCGTCCAACATGGGTCGTTCCATCCGCGTACGCACAGAAGTCTGTGTGTCAGGCAGCACTGATAAGCCTGTTTACACACAGGTACAAGTCTATTAAAGGGTAATGCTTGTGGGCCCCGGAAAGAAAACATACCAAAACACTACTCAACATCCATTCTGTACGTGTTCACATCTTTAAATGTTGGTATCGATTTGAAATTAATATGCAACTGTAGAGTGCACATCACTAAGCACTGTCTGTCTCTCTCACTGACTGTCATGCATAATGTAACTCAGGTAATACAGGTGCAATTAATGAGGGTATTAAACTGCATCCAATCCTACAAAAAACAGCACAAGACAAATATTTGCAGGTCCTAACCATGGCAACAGTTTTAATTTTGGAATTTTTTTTCCTAGTCTCTTGCAAGTAGTCCTTCTTCACCGGCATTAATGCCTCTGACATTCACGACAGCCTCCTGATCAGACCAACCGCAGACGGGTGAGCGTCTATTTGAAACTAATATGGAGACTTAAGGAACCAGCAAGAGGGGTTGCCAGGGCAACCATTAGGCTGCCGTGGCAACCTGGTGCAGCTTTGGCTTTCTCTTCCGTGTGCTGCCAGCGGACGAGTGCGGCTCATCACCTATTAGTATGCCATACATCATTATCTCCTTTTCCCAACCTCCCCCCCCTATCTTTTTCCCCCTCCTTTTAAATCCCCATCTACTCAGGGCTCGCTATTATGCAGAATGGGAAAGGATTGCAAGTGAACAGGTAAAAAAAAAAACCTCATCGGGCAAGGCTTTGCAAGGTGCAAGGACAGCACGCGGAAAGCGAGAAGAAAAGAAAAAAAAAATATCCTGTCTTATTTGCTGTCGCTTTCCAACACTACATTTAAAATCCACTTTCTTTGGTGAGCTGCCGCCAAGGGGCTATGAGAGGTCAGGGAAATGGTCGGGGAATAAATTATGGCACGAAAACTACATGTACAGATCAAATGATGAGTGGGTAACCATAGAACATCAGCAAAGCCCTGTTTCTCCCCCCCCCCCGCGATCGCGCGAATGATTACGGGCAATTCTTGACCTTGTTTAAATCCCAACCGATTAGACGACGAATTGAGAGATGATTGAGATTTTGACGATGTCTGCGCAGGTATCGTCAACAGATATATACAAGTGTGGGTCCTTGCTCCAAGATATTTGTACATGTATGTAGATGTACGTGCACCAGGCCTATGGAGGGGAAAAAGGCAGGGATAACACAAGCTGTGCATGGCTTGCGACTGCATTCTGGTCAGCTCTCTGCAGTAAGAAAAAAATGTATGAAGACCGGCCCAAGTGTGGCATGCCAGATCAAACACTACTCCCACACACTGATCTATTTTTGCGCACGCTGGCTTCCAGCGAGCGTGTACTATGACTTTATGATTCTCTCCTGCATATTTGATTCAATTCTCATTTCTCAAATCGTTTGAAAGCGCCTTCAAGCAAGCATTCTTCTCTCTGAAACCTCAGGTTGATATGAAATTCAGTAATCATTTCAATACTTCATTTTCACACATACAGAACTGTACAAAAATAAAGATGGCACATGTACACACAGATCACATTTAGCACGTACAATTTTACTGCTAAGGTAAGTTGTTTCTTTGGATTCACATTTGAATGTGGACTCTCATTCTTCACATTTTTATACAATAAATGCAATGCAAGTTGTTAGTTTAAACGCACACTAAGTGAACAAGGATACCAAGTGGAAAAACGTACATGTACCATTCAAAGATTCATTGATTACAGACAAGATAATGTGCACGAAGCAGTGTTCTTCACAGCTGAAAATTACAGCAGGGGCGGCATACAATGCGAGCGCGGAGCGCGAAGCCATTACGAAGTGGGGTCCGGGGGGGCATGCTCAAGGGCCCCGGGAAAATTTGGCTTCTAGATGCTCTGTGGTGCAATCTGAGGTATTTCCTGGGCACTTTCTTCTGACTCCTTGAACCAAATTTGCTTGTGGTAACGATTTGAAATGAAGGCAAGATTGTTATCGGGAGGTCATTGAAAATTGATTTTTTTTCTGGGGCTTTTTTTTTTTACTAATCGGAACTCGCCATCAAGCGGATGGTTTGGGGGTTACATGTACTGTATGGACGTAGGAACAGCACGAGTGGATGATGTACAGTCGTTTCCCTAATTCCGGATCTCAAAAATAACTCCATGGTCAGACTGCTACCACAAAATCCAATAATTCTAATGAAATATGGTCACTCGTCCACCTCCTATAGTGGAAAAACTACAAAATTATTTTCAAAATCTAAGCTTTTCTGGTTCTGAATTGGTTTAATCAGTTCCGAACAGCGACAATTTTTTTCTCGTACAAAATGCCAAGCAGAGCCATTATAGCAGCTGATTTTCTAAATAAGAATTTCTTGATTTTGAGAAAAATAGTTCATGAATAACTATTAGTAAATTAAAAAGTGAAACTTGCATAAGTTTGTTCATCTGTACTGCGAGCAATCAGCGACTATCCCCGTGCTGCACAGTTGACGAACCCATTACGTCACATACATTGTACATGTACATAACATATCTGTTTACGCCCGTGCACTGACACTGTAATCCACAACTTGGAAAATGTGCATTTAGTTGTTGGCCAATTTCTTAAAAAACAAGAAACCCAAAAAGTCATTTTGATTAAACATACATTAGATGCCAAATTTTATAGGACTGGTAACAAAGTGAGAAAAAAAGTATTAGGAATCACACATACAGTACGTACCCATTACCCTGTATTTTATGGGTTAATTTTTGACAAACCGTTCAAAAATGTCAAAGTTCAAAACGGAAATCTAGCTGGCAGAAAATTTCTTTTCTGGACTTTTCTGAAAACAAAATTTTGTACAAGAAGCTTACATTTGTGACCTGCTATGGCATAATGAGAAACCATACCCAAATATGACTTTTTGAGATATGCATATGAGAAAAAAGAGGAAGGAATGGGCTTTCCAGTGATACCACATTTATACACGTAGGCAACTCCGCTCCAAAAATACGATGCCAGAAAGACAACGGGAAACATCGCTGTGGTCAAAACAACTTTTCAAGAAAAATGGCATTAAAAAAACACATGCCAGTGCTGCAAACGTTAGCCATGAGGCATTGTGTGAGCTCCATAATCGTTCTCGATCTAAATGACCACAGCAACATTATATTTATGGGCAGCTATTGCCATGAAATAACAAATTAAAACTGAAAGAATGTCTTCAAACATTGTTTCCTGGAAGTTATATTGTTATATTTTTTGGAAAAGGAGAAATGGCAGCAAGAGTTTTGTTATCATGAATTTCTGTTAACATCGGACAGGCTGATGTTGACACTGCCTCCCGACTTTGTTTCTATATTTTGGAACATTTCTTTTCATGTTAACATTTGTAGTACCTCTTAACATAGACGAATAAGAAGTTAATGTAACTATGCTTATTCAGTCAAAAATCAGCCTTTCTATATTGGCAATAAAGAGTCATATTCTTTGCTAACTAAAAATTCTGGCACTTCAGAAAGCTGTCGTCCAGCCAACCCATCAGATCTTGCCTTCAATACTTTCAATCAGTTCAATGTACATGCACATGCTGCTGATGTCTCACAAGCTCACAAGCATTGCCTTGAGCAGATGACACGGGTGTAATACAGTGATTAGATAAGATACATAATTCCAGCTGGACTTGGCATAAAAGTCACAAAGGGTTGCCCCTTTTGGGTGGTCAAAAATCGCACGTTTTAAGCTTCATGATCGTACATCCATGTACATGTACACCATGCCAATGATCATGTAGCGCTTTGTGTACATGTACACGTACACTGCATCGTTTTCACGTGAGTACGTACGTATAGTCGTGCTACAGCAAAGGTATCTTTTTCATGCACATGTAATGCATGCTGATTGGATGAACGAAGTGCTTGACACGTATCCAAGTAAACAATGCTGACCCTGCCAAACATTTGAGTAACAGGCGACTAATCAAAGTGCTCAATTTTGCTCACGCAGTTTCATCGCATTTCCAAGTAGCTGTAGTTGCGTGGCGATCCAATCGTGTAGCTTCTTATTGCTTACGTAGGTATAGCTCGTGAACGAGAATGATGTGCATGTAGCTCACAGTCCAAAAGTAACCTTCTCAAAGGGCCGAGCAACGCATTGTGCACGCTGTCTCAATAACAACCGCGTACGTTGTAAATGTATGTCTGTGCATGTACTTGTAAACACATGGATTTCCTACTATGTGCAAGCATACATGGCAGACGTTCACATGAAATGGCTACACTGCTTTGAAAGCCATTCAGGGGATGTGTTTTCACTGCCGTGACCAGAAAAAAGTGTCTGCTGATGTCACTGATGGTCACTGATGGTATATGGATGTTGTCGCGACCTCAGTGATGCCTGTATTGCATCGTTGTTCTGACCATGAGCAAAACAAAGTTTGGAGTTGGTCCATCGCCGGTTCAAAAGGACGGAAATTAAGCAGCCATTACTGTTGTCTCCAAAATCAGTGAAATATGTATCCCCACTCTGTTGTTATGTACAAGTACATCTACAGGAACATGCAATGAATTAAAGTGGGTGTTTTTTCTGGAATTCAAGAAGACAGAGCAGTAGCACAGAGAATCTTGCCAAATATTAAACCAAAATGACCTTCGTCAACAAAATGTTTTCTGCTACCTTATACTTTGTCTCTCGCTCTCTCCGACTGGGTGAAGTAACCATTCTGATTCCACGCTTTTGTGAGCCACCTGGTATATGTTCCTGGCTAGTGTCTCAATGTCATTAACATATTTCTGGTCGGGTGTCATGGAAAACACACCCTGGACTACTTGAAAATCCCGGCAATGAGCATTCACGGGAAAAGGTGCGAATGCTCACTACATGTACGTGTGCATGTTTGCCTTGAACACACATACGGAATGGGTCATTCTTCATAAGTGTGACAAATTTATGTCCCTGTAACGCCTGACTGACCTATGTAATTTGATATGAAAAAAGTGGTATTGTTGACATATGAGTTTCATTTGTTTGGTGGGTAATTTACATTACCATATCACTCTTGGTGACTAGAGAATGAGTTCTAAATTTACAAAATCATATATGGATGACAGATACCAATGCCCCCCCAAAAAAGAACCCCTGTCGAATGACCCATGTACCGGTACATGTACATTGTAAGTGCCTTCTATCACTTGACACTTTTAAAAGGTCAGGTAAAAAGCGACATGAGGATGGGTGAAATGGGTGGGGCTGGGTTTAGTGTGGGTGGGTATAAAGGTTGGGGCAGGGATGAGATGAGGGTGTGGTAAAGTTGGACATGGTTATCTAGGGTAGGTTAGGTCAGGTTGAGTTCAACTGACAAATTTACCTTCAAGTCTCGGTGTACTACGCTATTTTTGTGGCAATGATCGACACTCTCTAAGATCTGTTGGATGCAGTGGCTGGCGTCTGCTTCACTGTAGTATTCTCTGGCGACAATGTCTTCGAACAGTTCACCACCAGTAACTCTGGAAGTTCCAGAAAAATAACTTGAGTCTGTGCCAACCAGTGCCCATTTGTACAAACACAGAATACGCTGTAAGGAGAATGGGTTTCAACCCTGGGCAATTCCAGAAATAAGGGGTCCCAAAGTGTAACATTTTTGTGTCCCTGTTACATATGACCTGTATTATTTGACATGGAAATATCACCCGAATTGATTTCAAGCTACATGTATATTTATTTGGCAGGTAATCTGCATTAATTCATCACTCTTGGAAATTAGAAAATATGTTCTGAACTTACAAAATCACATATCAGATGTGACAGGGACACGAAAACAAAACAGACCCCTCATTTCTGGAATTACCCCTCATTAAGGTTGTACATGCTGCACATGTAGGGTGCATGTAGAGTGTAGGCCTACTAGTACATGTAGGTGTCTGAGTGGCATTTTAGAAGGCAGAAGTGAACACCAGAAAATTAGCTGGCCTCAAATCTAATTAACCCTTTCGGTCTAGTGGCCCAGATACATGCATCATCACTGACAACACAAATCTCAAAGGGTCCAGGCAATGAAGCGCTGACACACACATTCTCAGCAACCTTTTACGCTTTGCCGGTGCATGAATACAAGCCAACATCCTTTTGGGGTTAAGTGTGTGGAAATTCAATTTTTTTTTTATCAAAGCATTTAAAATTGTCCATGCTTTTCCAGCCAACAAAGGCAGTGTTGCTATGACGTCAATCAAGGGAAGACGCTGCTCAGTTTTTACATGTGGGTTTCCTGTACAAATTGCGAAGCTAAAATTTGTTCACTGAAACATTTCTGAGAAAGGGTTAGTCGTTAGCTTACTGCCATACACACAAAAAGCAATGCATCACCAAAGATGAGGACATTAACCCTAACAGTCCCAAATACTCCAATTTCAATACGATTTTACATACAACCTAAAGGGTTAGGGTTTTTTAACAAAAGAAGATTAATGCAGGGTTGCAACTTGGACTTCGACAAAAACAGAGGAAGCTTCAATCCTTGCAAGACTTTGTACAATTTTTTCAATTTTCAATGGCAGGAGTGTGAAGTGAAAAATGAGGAAATCGGCTGATCCCGGGAGAAACTGCACGCCTGGTAAACGAATCAATTCAACAAATTCAACATTGAGGTTTTCTCCTTGGAAAGACATCACAGTTTCAAACAAAAACATTAGCATCAGTACCTAGAGCCAAAAAAGCACTAAAATACCTCTCAGAAACCGCTAAACAAAAAACGGAAAATGAAACAATACAGTGCATTTTCAAGAACTGTGATAATATAAAGACGATTGAACATCCCGGGACCAGTCAATCTGAGAAGCATAACTGCCTGTAAAGTACATGCTACATGCCAGTCAAGTATTGTCCCTATTTAGATAAAGGTTATTCCTCACTTGAACCTCCCCCCCAGCTATATATCATCTCATCTAAGTCAACGGCTCTTGGGAATGACTCAGGAGATGTGCTAGATTGGTTGAGCAGTTTCTCTAGGTCTTTTCTGTCCTGCACAATTATAAATTCATGTCCGAGATCATGCATGATGTAACTGCACCTTACGCAGAATCATGGTCTAATAAAAGACCATTCCTGCTGTATTAAATTTTGATGTGGGTCCTGGTTCTGTATTTAAAAACTGTCGGTGGTTATTCAGGGTCGATGGTAATGTTTGCCCAGGGTCAAAGAGGCGCGAAACTCGTTTCCTGGCAGCTACATATCGACAACAGGAAGTCAGTGTTATACGTACGATATCAGGAAGTTGGTGTTACACGTACGATATCACTGGTGAAACCATGTGATCTTTTAAATAACTCTTTGGCAAGTTAGCCTATTCTCCAACAGTGGTAACTTTCAGACATCCTGACATTTCTTCTCACAGGCAAAATTTGTCACAATGGTACAGTGCGTCGCGAGAGGTGACCCCCACCAGACATCTTCTCTATGTGCCACGGACGGAAGCATATCACCCTGAGCCGTCATCCATAATTTAAATCCCATCTACAAAATCATGAGACATGCCCCTGTTTTTTTTTTTGGGGGGGGGGCAGTGCATCCAAAATAGATCTAATAAGAAAGCACGAGAGAGACACAGAGCGAGAACGATATCCCAGGGTGGGAGATCTGCCTTTTCGCTTGGCCCGGGAGCTGATGCAAGCGCAGACCCAGATGGTTGTCGGGACACGCATGCTTGAGCAGGGAGCAATAAGCCATTGGACCGACCACTTGAATTCCTCATCCAAAGTGACTGTTAACACTGCAACCAATTTGGAATGAGGCTGCAACTTAACGACGATCTTTCCGACCGATTAGTCACTCTCTTTTTAAGGTTTCAATCAACCACAAGTTAACTTTCAAAATGTGTTTGGGCAATGTCAACATATAGATTTTTTTTTTCAACAAATGGGTCTTCTTTAGGTTTGTCTTACTTTTTTTTCTTTAGGGAGAGAGTTATGAGCATCATGCGTGTTTGAGAAACATCAATCATTTAATGTAGTAATAGAATAATACATTGTGTACTCGGGGCCTTATGAGCAAACCCATTCTTCTCGGAGAGCAATGCTTTATGAATGCTCGGCAGATTTAGTGATTAAAACAAGGCGCATTTTATGAATTAGTTTATGAATTTCCGTATTCATATTCAAAGAGAAAACACACATAGGACCGGTATCGTTTTAGAAAGCATTTCAGAAAGGCAGAAAACTCAAGGGCCTGGGATATCTAGTGGTGTACCAGGTCATTGAGCTTTTCTGGCTCAAAAAATATAGAGTCATTAGGTCACACGGGTTGGGTCGAGTCACCCACTTGCCCACCAGTCAGGTCAATTTTTTTGCTCAAATCAATGCTATTTGAGTACCTACATGTAACATGTAAACACCTGGGGTGGATGCTACGTACATGACCGGCAGTTATTTTCTATCTTGGCCTCTGCATGCGCGTGCACAGGTTCATGTACTTAAATTAAACGCGTACGAGTATGACCTGGCTCTTGTGGTGCAAAAGTCAATAGAACCTTTGCATGGTAGCCATCTTCCAAGGCAGTTTTTTTGTTCCACAGGGAAACCTCCTTTGTGCAGGACAAAAACACCGGCCTGCAAGATGGCAGCCTCAATATTCTCACTGCATGCACTACCTGTAACTCCATCGAGTCACTCTGGTATCCACAATGTTCAAACAGAAAGCAACAGTATCATACTTACAGGTCAAATACTAGGTAATGAAAATTTTCTTCCGGAATGCTGTCGTGCAGGCGAACTGAAGAGTAAAACAGGATAAAAGAGATGTCAGTTGGGATTAAAATGCCAGACATGGGCAGCATCAGCCAAACATTCGGTACGTGGTACGTGCTCAAGTCCAAATACATGACATGTGGGGTACTTACACATACATTTTCAAGGGTTTCACGAGGGATGCAAATTCATGAAAAAATCCCCAAGGTGCCGTCTAACGCTGTACAAGACACAGCAGCCAAACGGGGAAATGCCACTTCAGTTTTTACGAAGCTCTTTCGCAAGTGAATTTCTTTAGCGGTTTGAGTGATTTCAAGCCCCCCTCTCGTATGGGCAAGATTTGCTCACGTGCAAAAACAGGGTAAAATTTCAAAAAGCTGGCTGCAGCTGCTGATAGATCTTACTCCACAATCTGACTCAACAATGTAGCTACCTAAATCCAACACTGTAACATGAGTAACTTTTAAGTGGCAGACAATATAATAGACGCAATTTAGATGAAAAACACTTAATGTAGAGCTTGCCCTGCTGAGGCCACGTACATGTATTTGTCAACTTGTAAGGAAAAGAATAATTTATCAAAAGTAACCCCTAGCACCCTTCAAAATCCATCAAGAGGTTTTGGAGGATTTTGCAGGATTGGAGAAGGTGCATGTACAGCCAGGACTTAGTTACTTTACAGTTACCTACAGCCTCGATGCCCTTTAAGAATTACAGCACAAGTACAAAGGATGTTCCTTTGGCTTCCTGCTGGTGGGACCAATTTGGTCACATTAAAGTGGCCACTCCCTACTGCCTCAGTCCTGTAGAAATCCTGGAGAGACCTCCAGGTAGATTTTGATAGATCTGGCCGATGAGAACACCCACTCAAATCTTCACTGGTAGCTGCAAGTTACACAGCTACTAAGCACTCCAGAATACATTTGATAAGTCTTGAAACAACACGTACCGGTACAAGTGGATTGGGAAAGATTCAAAGTCTGAGGCGTGTGTGAGCAACAACACCACGTCATGTGCGCCAAACAGCGATTGAATTCTGTTGTTTTCTGTTTTTGCACTTGTTGATGTGTATGTTGCCATGTGCACGAGAACACGTACACGGCATGTCTAACATTGAATATGGTACATGTATAGTACTGTATACATGTATGTCCAAGCATGAACATACATGTACATGTAGCTACAGTGCCGTTAGCCGGGGGGGGGGGGCATGGGGACACGTGCCCCCTACGAATTCGCGGTGCCCCCTTCCCGGTACCTCCCCACTAAAGAAATGGATATTGAACAAAGCTAACAAAAGCTTGCCCCCCAAAAAACACACCACTGAAAGCTGGTGCCCCCCTCCCATAAGAGGCCAGTGCCCCCCTTGTGACCCTCCCCACCAGTAAAATCTAAGCTACGCCACTGTGTAGCTGCTACCCCGAATGTGGGAACTCACGAAGATAATCCCTTGATCACTTTCCCTAATCCCCACAAAACCCTAGATCAGTAGGGATTGGCAAAGTGTAAATAACGGTACCTGGACTTACATCGGACCATGACCGCGCATGCAAATGGTATACATGTACATTGTGAATATGGAGTCAGGACAAGAAGTTTTCGAGACAAAATTGCATTGTGCGTGTACAGAAAGTCAGTTGCTGGCGACAGTCTACAGCCAGGGGGCAGTAGTTGGGGTGTGGAAAGTTGCCTCCAGACCCCTTACAAAATCAAATCATTACGTACACGCAAATGTAGTTACCAGTACCTGGGAGGGGCGACCTTGGGCTTGATGCGACTAGCATTGCCCTTGCAGTGTCTTTATCGACTGGCCATACTGACGAGTCATGTAGGAACCTCTGAACCACCACTTGATATACCGGTATGCTCCAAGCAGAACATGTTCCAGACGCACTTATCATATGCACATGCACACGTGTCAGACTTTTGTGCAAGCATGTCGGACTTATATGTACATGTAAATTGCGACAGTGATGGAGTGGAAAATAATGGGGCAGGGCTTAATGGATTGATCTGTTATCGAATAATCTAACAGTTATTTTCAAAACAGATTACTTTAGCTGAGGTAAAAATCCACTGAAATGAAAAGGGGGGGAAAATCAACTTTTTGTAGCAGAATTGCATTCTAAAAACTAATGGTTCAAGGTGTTAGGATCAACTTTTACAGTAACCAGGTAACGGCAGCCGATACATTCATAAATGCCCGCAATAAAATCTGAAAAATTACATCACCTTCCATTCTTTGTTTATATTTTTCAAGTTTCATGGAAGCTTCCTGGAACTGTGTCAGCAGGAAGACCGCACATCAGTTGGACTCCCAGCCTTCTCCAGGCAGACGAAATCACCAACATGCCTGTTTTGCTCTGACTTTTGTCCGGATTTTGAGCCACATATTCGTTCAAATGGAAGGCTGAATCCCCGAATATTCAGTGTGTCAATTTTCAGATCTAGTCAGATTTCAATTAATGTGCTGAACAGAAAGCAAGGTTGTTTCCATCTTTCACGGCTGAAGGACACTTCACAAACTGCAGAACTCATGCTAAATCTTTTGCACATGTAACACTGTTTCTGAAATTTGCACCCTTGTGGAGATATGGCTTTGTTTTCCAATACTAATTCGGTCGTGTGGGAAACGATGTTTTCAAAATGCTCCCCTTTCAACATGAATCACTCTCCTGGACTGAAATTTCGACCGAATGTCCCTTAAATGGAACACTTCAATTTGCGACGGATTCTTACACATTAAAAATTTCTCCTTTTTGAGCAATTTCCAAATATCAGTTTTGTGAAATCCTTGCGGAGACCTAGTCGCCTTTAGAAATTCCTTGTGGAGACCTATTCAACCCATTCCTCTGGGTCTCCACAAGGCACCATATTTCGGCACACATACATGTACATAAACGTGTACTCAAGTACTTTTGTATTCATACTCATGGAAATATGTTTTATGACTACTGACTACAACACTGCATTCCTTCTACAAGTGCCTGAGAATGAGTACTTCATTCCATACTCGTGGAAGTACTCAATTACAACTCCACACACACAACACTGCCTCTATGTAGCCTTAGAGGTATGCTTAGTTTATCCGCTGACGATAAAAATATCAGGACTGGCCACTGACCGTCTTCACTGACCGTCAAATCCCCTGATCGGCACTTTTCAATAGTCTACTCATTGTAACTGTTGACAGGACAACTGTTTTGATTCACAACATTCACCTGCGTAAATTCTGTACCCCCCACCCCACGTTTAAAGGATTACACGCACAGTTTTAGAAAATGCATCCAGTTGGCTTGTCCAAAGAGAAACTGTTTTAATCCTGAAGTTCATTACCACCACTAAACCCCCATCCCAAAAAAAGACAGAAAAAAAATGTTACACACCTATCGGACACTCTGTCAAAAGCGTCCCTCCCCCCAGGATACCAGCAGCCCATGAATTAAAAGATTACTCTTTCTGCGATATCTAATAAGAAGGTATCGGGTTCCCAGTGACAACTTTGACATCAGGGATACCCTGGGATGCTGGCTCGTGGCTGCACGGTTGGATGTCCAATCAGTGTGAACAGTTCAGCTCGGTTTGTGGCCACTCGCTGACGGCATGATTCCCGATTTAGTTCAAGCCCAAGTACTGCATGTATGTACATGTGTACAATAATCGTTCCACTGGATATTTTTGAACATAAAGGAGAAGCAAAGTATTCTGAGAGTGATGTACATTGTACATAAAAATGAGTTCTAAAAATGACACCTCAGCTCACTCTGGGTGCCTGTGCTTTCACATGAAGCCAAAATTCAAACAAAGCTCGCCCGAGACTTTGGAGATAAACAGAACAAGAATAGTGCATTAAGCAATAAAATAATGGCAGCCTGCATGTGTAAACACCACCAAACTATTTAAAAATGTTCAGCAGTCACTGCAACTCTGATATATCTCCTGTACACTGGGCGGATGCACCAAAGAGTACTATAAAGTAGACACAACGCGTGTCATATGCCGATCGCTGACATTTACCCAAACGCTGACATGTGACGGAGATGAATTCGGCTTGGACGAGGCACAGACTTCAAGGAGGTTGTGTCTAATGTTTTTTTTCTCTTCTCCCGCTAAGCTTCTGTGTACACATGCGTGTACAAGCAGCTAAAGCAGGATGTAAACTAAGTGCACTTCTGCTGTCACACCGTAAGGTCGGCAGAACCAATGGACACCTTTCCTGGAAGCGATTGATTTATTCTGAGGATGAGTGGCCTCATTGTATGCGATTCCTTTTGTTGAGTCACTCTACTGGTTATTGTTATCATTCCTACTGACATGCATTTTAAATTGTCTCTCATAATGTTATTTTACAGTGTTAAGAATACATGCACAACGTACTTCACTTTTAATGTGAGAAAATGATACAATTAAAGGTTTAAAATGCTAATTATCTGCTGCACAAACTGTTCATTTTAATTCTTTAATAAAAGCCTAAAACAAAGACTAGAATTTCATCTCTTTTTTCAGGATTTTATTTAAGTGATTTTTCAGGATTTTATTTAAGCCATTTTTTTCCCCTCAATAGCTTCAGCGAAAATGTTACCTACTCAAGTAAAAATAATTTCATCACCACCCACACATGTGTTGTCATTTGGTCATCTCCCTGCTGGGTGCTCTTCCTTTTTTAAAATCTGCCAACATGAAACTCCTGTTTTCCTTATAAAATGGAAGAGTTTCAAATTAATAAGACGACAGAGATTTACTTTCCAAGTAAACATAAGTGGTTTCTGAGCAGAAAGCCTTTTAGAGAATGCCCAGGACGCTGCAAAACTGATTCAAAATGCGCAGAGCATTGTACATGTAGTCATCTTTGGTAATGATACATGTACGTGTCAGGGGTGAGATTTGAGGTAAATGAAATATCCACAAAAACAAAAAACCAACCACCGTAGGTATTGAACGCCCACAGCAACATAGGGTCTGGGGTATAACGTTGTGTTTGCCTACAGGTATCATTTATTTAAATACCCATTTCTTGTTTTCGATATCAACTGTCATATGTAAAAACTCCTTGTTTTTCAGGATTTTCCATTTTTTTTTAATCCCAATGAAAATTCCTGAAGTCAGGAAACAATCCTGACAAATCTCATTCCTCACGTACATGTACATGCATGTACAAATGTACAGGCTAAGTAGGAGTGTCACAGCCACTCTGAGATTTTTTCATCTGGCAATTAAAATGAGAGATCACATGTCACATGGTGACTTGAACCACATGCTCACACGTAGTCCCCAAAGTACAAATTTGCATAACGTGTCCCTCTCCAATCAATGATAATTACAACTGGATTTTGAGCTGGCCACATGTTTTCCAAACGCCCGGTGACTTCCGTGCAAGCTGGTGTCCTGAGAGAAAATGGCGTATTGATTGAAACAATTAGAGCAAAATTTCCCAATCGTCCGGGCTGGTATTGATTGGGCAGAGTGGATCGGTCCCGCGGCCCACTCTGAGAAACATCTGTCTCCAGTCAAATGTGATATTCATGGCGTTTCTATACCCCTCTGTCTGTGTATTGCTGGGATTTCCGGCATTAAAATCATGAGAGAAAAGGGGGAAGAGACTGAATTACGTTACAAAGAAAAGCAGACGGTGGCCAGAACAAGTAGTGTAGCAACATTATAAAAAAAAAAGGATTCACAAAAAACACTGTATTGCTTGTGGCATCTCATGTACATGAACTTTTCAGTATCAAGCAGTTGAAATGTAGCATGCATGAAAGGACCCAGTCTTGTCTCTCTTTTTTCCTTCTCTTTTTTCCCTTTTTGGAACACTAACTACATGCACATGAGCATGGTTTACCAGCCGAATGTCCCCCTCCTGTACACATGTACAGGTCTGGCACCTTGCATTCTCTCTGAGAAATGGCTGATTTTCACGAAGTTGCACACTTCTCTCCCCTTACCTATATTTGGATGTTTCAGTTTGCGACATATGCGAGCCTCTCGTTCTAACTTCTGCAAATCTGTATCGAAAGGAAAAACAGAGAAAGAGAACAATTGACAACAGTTTCAAGACAATTACCACCGATTACAATGGAGATATGACAGCATTTCTGTGATTTAAAGGCCGTGTCCGAAACGGCCTTCCAGAGCTTCGGCTAGGTCTATTGCCTACGCGTCTCCTCACATTTTCCAATGGAGGAAAGACCTAGCTCTAGACAACAGATTCGGATGCAGCCAAAGTTTGTCTTCCACGTTGGCAGATTTATGTGTGGGAAATTCATTTACATGTACATGTATAACCCTTGGGCATGTGGGAACTGAGCAAAATCATTGTAAAAAGGAGGACCAAGGGTTTTGATCTTTAATTCCATGATGAATCTACCACAAAAAGCAATTATTCAAAAAAGGAAAGAGATTTGCAAGAGTTAATTTTTCTACTGTCTTCCTGAATACCATCACTTGCCACAGTGTCCACTCTCATTACTGAAGAGCTAAATTCAACACTGCCATGTGCAGTCAACTACAATGTACATGTGCACCTTTGAGAGTTTTGAATCTAGCATTCATAAGTACCTTAGGCAGTTTCCCTGTTCAACAACGTACAATGTATCCATGTATTAACATTTGATAATGCAAGCTGCGTAAGACGTTGCTGGCACCTAGATACAAGACAGTTTAATCCATTCCTATTGGTCAAGAGTCTGTGTAGGCTGTGGCATGCAGAACTTGCCATGTGCACGCCAAGTCCATATGAGGAGATTCTTCCAGGCTACTTGCTCAAGGAATACACCATGAAATGGATGGGGGCAGTGTTCTAGCTAGGACCATTTTAGTGCCAGGTAAATTTTTGGATTATCAAACATAGTGAGCGTAGTGAGCGAAACTCTCACAGCCCATAGCTGGGTTTTAGGGGAATACCAGAAGCGATTTCCCCCTACGTCATCGTAAAGGCATGTTTACAATAATGCTTTTGCAATCAGCCACTGATTTGTGAGAAATATATTTCTTAGGTCTTTACTTACTTGTTTAAAATTGTAAAACAGGTGCAAAACTGCAACTTTGTAAGCTTGAAATATGATCAAATTGGCACATTTTCAGCAATATTTCAGTTACTTTTTGGAAAATCCCTGCTGGGCGGCACAGCCAATTTGAACCCAAGAGCTACATGGAAATTTCCAGTACCGGGTGATGCCGCCCAGCGCCGCCCACCGTGGCTAGAACACTGGATAGGGGTGTTCAGTAAAATTCTTGAACAAGTAGCAAACACCTTGGAAATTTATCAGTGTCTACTGAACTAAATTTATCGTACAGTGCATGCTGACTTCTTTTGGCTGTCTGACTAAAACAGTACTTATAAATGGGAATACACCTACACCAGCCAAGCACATATTTATTCCCTTATTTGAATATTCTAACCCAGCAAGTTAACCTTTAAATGCAGCATTTACACTGTATCATTCATGTAATTCAAATCTTGATTCAATCATTTCAAGGAACAATGGTGACCAATGCTGGATTCACACTTGAATTGTTCCATTTAATAAGCTCTTTCAAGTGTGGTCATTGGCTGCTTTAATGCAGACGCACATACATGTACAGGTGAGTTCTGGATTCAACGCAATGTGGCACACTGCTATCACCACACAAGTACATGTGCCAGGGTCTACAAATGTATACAACCGTGCCTGGCTCAACTGCCCATCATGCGCAACGTACATGTACATGTAGGCTGCAGGAATGCCTACATGCATGTTCCCCCAGGAGCCGTGTGCAACAAGAAGCTGGCCCACTTTCCAAAGGTGCGTCGTCTGACAAGGCTATTAAGAATAGAAGTATATGTACATGTACATACCTGACCAGGCATGCACTGTACTAAAAATATACATGTACATGAGCAAGCACGGCCCCTCAGGTAGAGGGTCTGTGGTGTGAGCGACTTCACATCTGACTACCCTACAGTGTACATGCGGTTCATGCATGACTCAAACTCAAGGGTTTATATTTAACCTCGCCCGGTAGCATATTCTACCTAAATGTAGCCGGGATCAAGGGCAGATTTGGGGGGGGAGACACCACAGTTGATTTCTGTAAGTGGGACAAAAAATATTGCAGTTGCTTCTGTGCCAAAATTATGGCCGTCTGAGGAGTGAAGCTGACTTTAGGTTTTTTTTTTAATTTAACAAGATTTTGGAAGAGTAAAGAAATAGTCCCCCAAATCACTCTTTTATCATTCATTTAACCCACCCATGGTAACTTTTAGGGGTGGGGGGACTGGCCCCATTCAATCCCCTCCCCCACCACAATCCATAAAAGATGGCCCTGGTCATGAGGCAGATTAGCAAGTTACACCTTGTACACTCTGCAACCAAATACAGAGCAACACCCGTACATGTAATGTACATGTACAATGTACATCCAGCATGTACTGTACTGTATATGCTCAGGTAAACATGTACTGTATATGCACAGGTAAACACAGGTACATGTAAATGTACGTGCACTGCACTGAAAAAGATCCCATCCACCCTCAGTACACGTCAAACACGTTTTTCCAAAGGTTCATGCAAATCCAACAGATCCAGTGACTTCTCATGAATTCTCAATCACTATCGCCCCTCTCCCCACCTCCACCCCCGCCTCACGTAAGCACACATAAAACCATCCCCCCACAAGACCTCGTCTTCACCGACATCCCATGCGCAAGCACTGAAACGCAGTAACTACTAGGATTTTTTTTCTTCTTCTTCTTTCAGGTAAAGTCAGTAAAGTCAGATCCCTTCACCCGTCCGGGTGAAGGGATCTGACTTTGTGAAGAAGGTTGTTCCAGATTCTAGGGGAGCAGAACGCTGTGGGGAAAAAACATCCAGGAAGAAGACATTCCTCTGATGCTCACGTGGGGCACACGTGCACCATACACAGGTGCCTGCGTGAGTGCAACTCACACGGGCAAGAACGTGTGCACGTATTTCATGTCGGGCACCATCTATCATTATGAAATTATGGTGGAGGAGCTGAGCAGGAAGAAAGAAGCATCAGCTTCAGTCACCACTTGGGTAATGGACAGAGAACCATAAATTATTGCCTTAGCTAAAGGGAACAATGTCAGTTCCTCACAGGCTGGATTTCTGCATTAACGTACTATGCATATCAAAGGACCCTGCTAATACGTTGTCCCACATTACATGTACATGTAAATCGAATAGTTTCCATACATGTGTGGTGATACCGTAGGAAAGCTCCTTTATCTTTTGAAAGTTTGAAGTGCATTATTAAAGCTTCCATGTGTCCAAAATATTGTCGATCTGGCCCACAACTACTGAAGGTCGGAGGGTCGCTCCCCTCAAGATATGAAAAAGCCAGAATTCTGGCAACAGTTTTCATAAATTTTTATGTATAGGCCTATCAGAAAGAGGAGTGCACGTAGGAAGCTGCATAAAATGTGTTCCCAAGTCAGCAAGTCAGCTTGGTACCTATGTACATGCAGCTCTTTTTAAATTCTCACCAGGGTCTTCGAGGCCTGAGGCCAACGGCCCAGCCAGGCTTACCAGAGAAACGACAGCCCTCCATTCCTGATTTCGTACCCAGTTATCAAGAATCTGCCTCTGGGGTAACCATTTAGCAACTGGATCACAACATTATGACAGACAGGCTCACGAAATCTCAAGACCAAGCGCTTTGCCTGATTTGAAAAGGGTCATATTGTAAACCGCGGGAAACCGCAGCCTGGTTTTTGAGTTCCAAAGTTGCAGAAAAAATGTGGAGCCTCTCAAACTTGCTTTTTGGCATACATACATGGATTACAAAAATCAGAAAAAGACACCTGTACTCATAAATGATTTGACTCCTTGAAAATGTGGGAGGATACATGTAATTATTTAATGATTAATTACTTCATGATTTATTTTTATTATTTTATTATCTATTTTCATAGTTTGCATACACGTTTTTTACGATTTTTAATGTATTTTCATGTACCACTTTGCTTTCCAACCTAAGGGTTACAAGTAAGTGGCAATAAACCAAAAAAAATTAAAGTAAGGTTTCCAAAATTGCAAGTAAATGAGCCAACTCAATTCAGCCAAATAAAATCAGTTTATACTTCATGCTGGTAAAATATACATGTACATTCCTGGATTAGAATTCTCCCTCAACTCTTGTTTTCTGGAAACTCTGTCTCATTTCTTATGTCCAGTCAGGGACACTGAATACACGTACATGTAGCTAGATGCAATCAAAGTGCACACATACATGTACATGATCACAATGGGTCCACAGTCAGACAGGCTTGGAAAACCCCAAGGGTGCGAACCATTCCCAGAAACACTGGAAAACATTGACGACTTGCCAGGGGTGGCGAACTAAAAAGCTGATTGCAAACGCTGGGAATGTCAGCCTGAGATTAGTGGAAGGCTTCGTTGATATTCTGAGATGGCGATACCAGGAATTTTTAATTTGGGCGAATAATGGGCCGCATTAAACAAATCCAAATGTCCTATCAGCCAGAGCGTCGACATAATCCTTGAAACAGACCGGGCGGGATTGGGTGATGAAGAGAAATCCACCAAAAAAATGCCACAGAGGAGGTATGAAAGCAGCAACAATAAACACTGCCACATTTCAAGGCTTGCACTGGCTAACAAGTCTCACACAAAACATACATGTGGCAATGATTAGGTAAATTTTCACTTAGCACATGTATTTCGAACAAAGTGCAAAAAAAAAGGACCCAACTGATTGTACCTGAACCTCTAGAATTCCTGACATTTTGAGGTCAAAAAATCCTGAGATTTACTGAAATGGACAAATCGTTACAGTGAGATTTCTTCCTTTCTTCCAACTCTCATACAATCTCCTCTGCCCCCTACACACAACACACCCACTCCTTCCTACTCATGATCATGGTGAATAGCCATGCCAGCCATCCACTGTTTGCAGAGCAAAGCGCCAGTGTTTATGTAAACCCTCGCAATGAACCGCAGGAATGAAAATATGATATGAAAGATCTGGGTGACAAACAGAC